ATTTGAATCCTCAGTTCACTATGTTATATTCAGTGAAGTGTACCTAGATAATATACGGTTTTATGTAAAATATTTCCTTTACGTCATATGAACACATGTTATGTAAACTGCCTGTAACGACAGCAATAATTACAGAAACAATACAAAAATATATTTTCGAATTATTAACTATTCATATGTTACTAATTGTTTTAGAGAGATTATCATTTATGCACCCGTTGTTCGTATTAAAACTATAAACAAAACTCATTATCACGAAACAATTTTATGATAAAAAAGAAATAATTTTGGTTCCTGGGTAAAATATTTTCAGATAATTAAGTTAAGAAAAAGATAAACATTTGATAAAAGAACGTGATGGAAACAATGTAAGAATCCAGTTGACATTTATAATTGAAATTTGAAATAAAACTTCTCGATAAAACCCGTAAGGGATTTGAAATTTTCATAATCATAAAAAAAATGCGTTTCATTTGTAGACACTACTAAACGAATACAATTCATTGAATACTACAGAAAATTAAATGATTTCAACGTGAAAATTACTAACGCCATGACACCTTCGAAACAGAAATTCCAGATCAAGCAGTGTTAATTGTAGGCTTTTGTTTTACTTTCTGTAGAGTTTCGTCCTGAAACTAAAATCTAATATATTTCTCACAAGTTATTCTCTTTAAGCCGGCGCATAATCAGACAAGTGAGTACCCGTAGTTCGATAAGATGCTAACACCCAAATCCATGCACCCATGAGAAAAAATACATTTTGATAACACTGATATATTAAGAATATCTTGTGGTAAAAACGGTTAAAGATAATTGAAAGAGTTCTAAAAGAGAGAGAAAGAGAGAGAGAGACTGAGAGAGAAAAAGAGAAATTGAGAGAAGGCGCGAGTGAGAAAAAGAGAGATCGAGTGAGAGAGAGAGAGAAATATGCTGAACATTGCCTACTTTGAAAGGAGTCAGGGCTTTCTTGCTCTGTTTCGATAAGCAGCTCAAAAACTCCAACATGAACGAAAATTTACGAGACACACACAACACAATATAGTAAACAAAAGCGTAATATATTGACAACTTGTAGCAAATGAGTCGACTTCAACAGTGTAAGGGACGCAACTCTTTCCGTCTGAAAATGTCTGACACGCTGCGACGCAAAGCCGTGTACACCAAACACGGGTGTAATGCCGCCTGCCAATTTCTCCAAGCAACCTGCTTTTATGGAGCCCAGACACACCTCATTAGCATGTGTGTAACGCGACTTTGCGTGACTGCACGAGACCGTGAATATTAAAAGTCACGGACGCCATCTTGGATCTTTTCTTTCCTTTCTCAACCCACAGGCCAGGCAGACGCGGGGGGCGTTTGTGAGGTAAACCATTTCTATTTTCCCCACACAACTAAAATTAAACATACCTTGATTAGGTTTCTTTTGTTTTACGGCAATGGGTTATATATTGCTGACAATATTTTTTATTGCTGGTAATACTTGTTTTTTTGTTTTTGTTTTTCGAAAAATGTATTGCTGGTAATAATTATTTTATCAAAAATGTATTGCTATTATTAAAAACTATTTTTACCCGTTTATATTGTTTTGATCTCAGTTTGGTGGTTAAGTATTTGCCCATTTGGCATATATATATATATATATATATATATATATATATATATATACGCATAGCTGGAGGAGAAGAAAAGGATTCATACCTTCCCCAAGGTTATTAGCAGGTAAGTGAATGTAATGTATTCGACTGGAATTGAACTCGGATATATATATATATATATATATATATATATATATATATATATATGTGTGTGTGTATATGTGTGTGTGTGTGTGTGTGTGTGTGTGTGTGTGTATGGATTGAGGAATCGCAGAGCCAAGTTCGAATTCCAGTCGAATCCACTACATTCACTTACGTGCTAATACCCTTGGGAAAGGTATGAATCCTTTTCTTCTCCCTCCAGCTATGGGTAAAATAGCAGGACAAACAAGATACTATGGCCTTGGATGGCAACTGGTCTAGAAGAAGGACAACTCTGAATTCAAATCCTGCAGAGGGTCGTTTGGGAACCTTATGGCACTTAGTGCATCAGGTCTCTGTATTCGTCCCTTCAAAAAGTGTGGATGGCCCTGAACGAAGCCTTCACCACTATTATCAAATCTTATGTGCCGGTGTCGGGCTGTCGGTTTCCTGGAAAGTCGACTACACACACACACACACACACACACACACACACACACACACACACACACACACACATATATATATATATATATATATATATATATATATATATATATATAAATATCTACATATATATATATATATTCGAATAATGCAAACAATTTTAGAGGCTATTATACAACTCGGTTATATGTACACATCTATTTGGAATGTTTATTGTATACATTTTATCTAAAATCGATATTCCTTAATGCATCATGATTTAAAATTAAACTCTGTGTAATATATTTATTACACTGATATAAGATAACGGAAACTTATTTATGAGTGTTTTTCTAAGCTGAATGGCATTCACTTGGAGCCAAAGTAATTCCCATTCATAAAGTCTGGGAAAGATGTAAGTTCATATATTAAAGACTCTCAAAGTTAGTTATGTGAATTCACGAGCAGAAAATATAGAGTTGATCCCGACCATTATTGACATTGTAGGCAAGGCAATAAAATAATAACGTTCTCGAGTTAGACAAGATATGTTGGCTGATTAAAATGTAGAAATAGAGCTCATTTAGATTTGTGATCAAGAAGCGGTCAATATACAGTGTGCGGTAAAAGTGACACCTTTTTTTTTATTTATAAACCTTTATGAAACCAAGACAATTATAACATTGTCACATTAAAACATTATGATATGTGATGACTTAGACACTATTTAATTGTAAACTTGTTGCTGAAACTGTCCTTCCTGATTATGGGGCATCACTTACACATCCTGTTCTTTCAAATTTTTTAATTAAGCGTGCGAGATTTCGACTCTGCACTTGCCGAATGTTAAATTTTGCGAATAACACACGAGCAGTTTTAACTCCATTGTTCTTATTTTGGAATTAAAGTTGAACTCTTTTAGCTCGTATTGCCTTCATTAATCGTATGACCATACATATTAAAAAATCATGAAAGTAAAAAGAACTATACATTATAAAATACATGCAAAGTTATATAGCATAAGATTAAAAACCTAAATTTATACTGTTGAAAATTATAATGACAAATAAAAAAAAATGCTTTACAACAGCCGCTATAAAAAGGTCGTTATTTTTCCTACAACTAAAAAAGGGAGATACCGCTTACCAAACCGTGTATATTCGTGTACATTTAAGCAAAAATGTTTTTAAAATAACCAAGTTTTTTAAACCTTAAAAAATTACATTCACAATGTTCTATTTTAGACCTAGTTTCTCATAATCAATTACTTTATTATGAATCGTTTAAAATCCATAAAACAAATTTCGGTAAAAATTTAGTTTTTGCTTAGTTAAAATTTTCCGGTTATTGATTACATTTTAATTACTTTCTTACAAGGTAATAATCTAATTTTCTGAGTAGAAATTATTTTATAAAGTTGTCATATATCTTAAGGGAATTGACAAAATCCAAATCTATGACAACCTCAGCCGTGTTGGAAGAAACTCTCCCAGATTTTCTCTGTTTGCAGGGGTGCAGACGTGTTAACTAAACTTGACCAATTAGAAATTGGTGATGCTATTAAACTATAGATGGAAGTTTTAAATTCAGAGTTTCCCTTCTCACAGACCTGTTTCCAACCTTGACTAGAGAATCCAAATTATCGTATTTATACACGGTTGTGGGGGTGAAGAATTAAATTTGTGTCTTTTCCAGGATTATTTACATGTAAGTGAATTAAATGTAACGGACACGACTAGATTTCGAAAATGGATTTCCGTTTCCTCAAATCGTGCCTATTATAATCCAAGGTATTGTATCAAATTATATAAATGATACTTTAAAATCATTTTGCTGTTAAATTTATTTTCCCTTGTAAGTATTACACTATTTAGAGACTACTGACCTCTGAGGGTTTTAACCTGCCTTCTCTCGTTGTATGAAGAGACAATAACTCTTCTGGGTGCATAGAATGTCAGAATAAGTTAAAGAAACATGAACTACAAAAATGAGACGCATAGGTTTCCGTACTAAATATTTCTATTTTGATAATTGTCTTCCTATAAGTGCATCTATACATAACTATGTCTCATATTTTAAAACATTCTCGAAGGGAAAATATTCCAGTGAATAATAAATAAATGTAAATAAATCGATGCTGCCATCATAGTCGTGGTGGATCTCTCGCCATCTCCGTCTCTCTCTCTCTCTCTCTCTCTCTCTCTCTCTCTGTATGTATATGCATATATATATATATATATATATATATATATATATATATATATATATATATATATATATATATATATATATATATATATATATATATATATATATATATATATATATATATATATATATATATATATATATATATATATATATATATATATATATATATGTATATATATATATATATATATATATATATATATATGTATATTTATTAAATTGTTGCTATTCATTTTAATGTTGTCACGATTACGATATGTACTCAGGCCTCGGATGGAATATGAGAAGTAAATGTACTATTAACATTAACTATTTAAAAAAAAAATCTTCTTCAGCAGATTTATATACAGCGAAAGTGAATTTACACATACGTTTGCTGTTTTTAGAATAGACTTAATTTTTTTTTATAGAAAGCTGATTCTTATTTGTTTCCTTTTGCATTTCTTGAAAATTACCACATTTTCCATCAAACTCGCCAGCATTTTCTAATGTAGGCTTATATTATTTCTACCTATTCAGCGTTCATACCAACAGAAAATTATAGTTTACACTACACTAGAGGTTAAGTGACAACAAATGTACTCAGTAAGTCAGCTTTCCCTACAGAATTTGGCTTACGGCTGC